GGTGGGGGAGGCGTTGTGGCACGCGTGAGGGCAGCTTCGGTCGCACCAATCACCTGCGCTCAATCCCGATCCCGCCTCCGGTCTTCTTGACTTTAGCTTGACACAGGTGGGCGATGGTTAGTAGAAATCGTCGGAAATGATGGTCAAACTCTCGATGGTACATCTTCCGGAGGGTGAATTGTTTACATGGTGCGAAGGCCGTCCAACTATCTGGACGCGCGTGCGTCTGAACAGAAGACGATCAAGTGACTGCATATCAGCCAGTCTGGAACCATCCTTAATGCATCGAGACACAAGGCATCCTAATGATTGTTATCATCAGAAAACGTAGGAACAATTGATCAAATTACCCCTTCAGAACATGACTTGAGAGGGTAGCCGAAGCAATTCTCATCTATAATCCCAGCATGTGACCGTTATCATGTATATTGTATCGTGTGACGTGAACTCGAAACCAATGACCCTCAGAAATTTGCTGTCCTTTTCAAAAAAATTAAAACGTTAGTATCATAGTCCAGTCAATAATCTTGCCTGATATTCAGTCTTCTTTAGCCGCAAAGAGTCCGGGGGAGAATTACTTTGTTTGGAAATATGAGTTTGAACATTATGACTCATGGTCTGGTCATTTACACCTAACCGATGTAAAAGATAGAAAGCGACAAGCAGGAAGAGGTCTGTTATTGAATTTTATTTTAAACGAAGAAACTGTCAAAACAGCCATGTCCCCACTTGCTCGCCATCAAGCATCCTAGGTCTGTTGACAGGATGCAATAATCGAAACTAGAAAATAGCATTCTACTTGGATCTGCCGAATTCCAGTGATGTGAGCTTCCACTCCCTAATGACTTTTGTCTAAGCCGAATAGACGCTGTCTGACCACGATCTAGGTCACTTAGCCAAACGTCGCCATAGAGTTGAGTAAATTATCATGCAAGTGTTTTACGTGTTTTTCCTTATCCGTTTAATATGAAATTTCAATTGTATCGTAGCGAAATGACCACCATATTAAAAGGATTGCAAACATTCGGTAGAAATTCCCGACATGCGACAGAAAAAAATGACTTATATATTATGCCAAACCTTCTGACAAACGTTTAAGCGGAGGTGTCGATAAGTCACTCTTCAGGCATGGCCCTCCCGATTTCTGAGAGAAGAAAGAACCCTGCTTACAGAACAAATTTTATCCGGAGCCTGAATTGGTAGGCAATTTTAAAAATCCTAGTAGTATCCTTTTAGTATTTCTACATTTCGCTCTACCTAGTGCAATGTATATTAAGCATTTAATTGGTCGGAAATCACTCCTCCTTCACCCTCCCCCCCCTATGCGACGCCCTGCTACCCTTCCCCTCCCTTTTTGTCAGCTCTGAGGCCACTGCATGTATAGTGAAATCTGCCGCTCGGGTATATATGAAACATCGGGCTACGCCTTCATGATTTATTTGGCTTTAAAAGCTGGAAATTGTGCACGCTGTTTTATGGAGACAGAATGGGCACTGAACT